CATTACTAAGTGGTCATAATATCATAGATTACTAAGTGGTCATAATGTCATACATTACTAAGTGGTCATAATATCATACATTACTAAGTGGGCATAATATCATACATTACTAAGTGGTCATAATATCATACATTACTAAGTGAGCATAATATCATACATTACTAAGTGGTCATAATATCATACATTACTAAGTGGTCATAATATCCTACATTACTAAGTGAGCATAATATCATACGTTACTAAGTAGGCATAATATCATACATTACTAAGTGGGCATAATATCATACATTACTAAGTGGGCATAATATCATACATTACTAAGTGGTCATAATATCATACATTACTAAGTGGTCATAATATCATACATTACTAAGTAGGCATAATATATTTCTTTCGCGTTCATGATACATTTTGTTTTACTTAAAAACAGTATTTTTGATTTAACCCACTACAGGATCTAAAAATGATAACAGTCATCTACTTTTTTTTCACACTCACGATAGCGTTTAATTTAACATAAATTCATCTCAATGGCAGCAGTATTGTAAGAAACATAAATACTGTGCCAGAGAAGTTTTACATCAACAAAATATTTCCCACTGCATGGGAGGGATATTTTTCACTAAATTCTTTAAATTTAATTAGATAGAAGTAATGGCTTGTAATTTACCTAGAACGAGTAATTACCTCGTCCTTTTTTTTTTAAATAATTCATAAACTTAACCTACCAGTTTTAACCTGTCCTTTCATGACGATGCCAGCCCTGCACGACAAAACCACATACAAGATTTTTCAATGTACTAGTAGCTGTGGTAATCAATCATTCACTTCATAAATAAAGAGAGAGAGAGAAACAAAAAAGTTCGTTTGTTTTATTAACCACGCATGAAGAGATTAATAATACTTCTGCTAAACAGTTGGAGTAGGCGTGGCGTGGTGTTTAACGTACATTTGTTTTATTCAACCACGCATGAAGAGGTTAATAACACTTCTGCAATTATAAAAAAATCGAAAGCTTTATTTTTCGTATTAAAGGTTTGTTTTCCCTTCCAGAATCTCAAAATGTTTACTTACACAAGACATGCAGGTTTGATCTGTTATATACAATTAATGAGTATGCAAAAGGAGACATAGAAGAGAAATAGGTTTTTTATGATCGTGAACACATTAATTTGTTATTCCCAGTTTCTAGTACCGAGAAATATACTCTTTAACTAGTTTGCCTCAACTTATATATGCTTTGATCAAAGTCAGACCGACCTTAGATTTTTTGATTTTTTTTACACATAGTTATCCTCAAAAACTCAAATATAATGTTCCACTTCTAAAAGGTTTTACTTTTCATTGCGTGCATTAGTATACATCATTATCAGAGGCGTCGTTAAGTTCTTAAAATATTCGGGGTTCGGGCCCATAGAAGCGGGGATTTTCGTCGTTTCAGTCTGATATCAGTCATGGTTTTCGATTCTGATTTTTCAAGACACCGACTGGGGATTCGGAGCACGAGCCCCGTGTGCCAGTTCCTAGCGACGCCTCTGATCGTTACAATATTAAATAATTTCTATGCTAACATCTGATTTATCCATAGTAGGCCTGGTAGAGCAGTATCCACTCAAAGCTTACCGACCAGGACACCGAAGAAAGTACCTGTGGTCTCTGGCGCTCTCAGTGAGAGAGGAAATAACGACGGTACTGGGCCTTTCACCAATCCACAGTCTGCTCTGAAAACTGCACTAAAAACAATAACCAGCGACGATTGGTAAGTCCAGCTACAACAATACACAATACATCATATCGAATTGAATGGGTTGCTTTCTCCTGCCTGAGAAAGAATGTTTTCTTTTTATTATTATTACGAATCTACTCATTTGTAGACGGTCCCTAAGTAATTCTAAAGAACAGTACGGTTTAAAAATTATTAATAAATTAATAACCTAAAATTCTTTCTGGATGTGAAAACACTAGATGTGTAGGAGAGTACCCCGAAAAAACAACAACACAAATTGTGTTCCCCAAACACAGACTTGTACAAACTATAACACAGTTGTTTGTTGTAGCTATATAACACATAAGTTTTGTGTTTTCTAACAAAGATAATTTTTAAAATATTGTTTGTAAACGATGAGTAAGACATCTATGTTTTGTTTAATTAACCCCCTGTGAACTCGAACTTGTGTTGATTCCTTACAAACCCAAACAGAGAACACAAGTTAGATTGTTTTCAACACAAATGTTTTTACAACTATGAGATATTTTGGTACAAAGAAAACAATATCATAAAAGTCAAAATCAAAGATTTAAGGCAACAAATATAAGTAATCCAGCTCAGTATTTTATTTGTATTTCGTGTAACTACTTTAGATAAGACTTTGCTGAAGAGTGTTTTATTTAGTTCTGCATATCAATAATCAGTTTCATACATTCACCACTTAAATGTGTTTTAAAGTTAATTTTCTCCTTGAGTGTCCATTTTAATTATGAAATGTTATTATATTGTATATATATATATAATGTTGTTAATTTTTCCTATCGTTTGTAAAAAATTAATTGAAAAGTGTATATATAGAAGATTTCTTTATCACATTACAGAAAATTGATACTTTGAATGATTGTGTACTGTGTTATACTGACAGTACATTTACACGTTACACAAAATGGATGCTATGAGTGACTGTGTACTTTGGTATACTGACAGTACACTAACACGTTACACAAGATGGATGCTATGAGTGACTGTGTACTATGGTATACAATGTGTACACTATCATGTTAGAAGATAAATGCTATGATTGGTTGTATACTATGTTATACAGAGTATAAACTTAAATGAATATGATGCTATGACTGACTACGTACTGCTTTACAATTAATAAATATTTACCCACTGGTTATTTAACTCTACTTCTGTTCTCATAGGCAACAAAAGGTTGATGCCATGAACGATATTGAAAGACTAGCTGCACATCATCCTCAAGACCTCCAGATGGAGCTGCATTCTGTTGTATTAGCTCTTTTGCCAGAAGTTCGGAACTTGCGGTCAAGTGTTTCTCGAATGGCAATCAACACCCTTGGAGAACTTTTCCAAACGTTCAAACGTCACATGGAAACAGTAAGCATGATTTGTATTCTATATATCTGACTTTGCTGATAACTTGATTTCTCGTCATAATATATTCAAGATACTGGCCTCGCGTCACAAATATATTTCATCACTCTGGACAAGTTGAGTACGTCACTTCCGATATTGAATATTATTTGAATTATTCCTTTACCTTTTTTCATTGTTCTCCCACAGCGTGGTATTTTCCTGTAATGAGTTAATAAGGAACTGCTATAATACTTTCTCACAAACAAGCACACACTGTGAAAATATATGTTTTAAGTCCGGTTGTGACAGATAGAGAATATTAACTATCAATTTGACATAAAAATTTCTCACAAACAAGCACCCACTGTGAACATATATGTTTTATATCCGGTTGTGACAGATAGAGAATATTAACCCTCAATTTGACATAAAAACATCTTATTTTCAATGTTAGTCGAAATTACGTTTATAAACACGTGTAAAGAACCAAAATGATTGCCAGGGCTTGTTAAGTTATAATGAAGCACCTATTATTATAATACTCAGCTATTGTCTGTCCTGATAATGCTCGCGCACCTTACTATCTAAATGCGCATGCGCGCGCACTTCTTTTCAACGGATGTAAACAAAAGGTGGATGTAAATATACTTTAATAGACATTTTGTACAACAACATATTAAAAGGTTATCAAAGTTGTTTTAGAAAGTCTAACGTTATGCCATAGAATAACATAATAAGTTTATTTATTGATAATTTTAAGTACGGTAAACTTTAACCCTAACTAAACTAAAGGGAGAAACGTACACAAGTGTACTTATAATTTTCGGTGTCTGCGATTTATAATTATTTTGCATTATTCTAGAAATCCTGTATTTAAAGAAGTATTGTTGCAACAAAGATACTAATTTCACTGCAAATGTTTTGTGGGTTTCTGCTAGTTAAGTCATATTAGTGAATATGTAATTATGTAATAGTGTTGTTATTAAAAGTCTGTTGTAACTTCGGTCTGGCATAGCCAGATGGATAGGGCACTTGTCTCGCAATCTACAGGTCTCAGGCTCGAATCCCTGTCCCAGCCGTGGGGGCGTTATAATGTGTCGGCCAATTCCGCTACTCGTTGGTAAAAGAATAGCCCAAGAGTTGGCGGGTGTGATGATGACTAGCTAGCTTCCCTCTAGTCTTTCACTGCTATATTAGGGACAGCTAGCACAGATAGCCCTCGTACAGCTTTGTGCGAAATTCAAACCAAAACAAACTGTTTTAGTTTACTGGACGGCTCAAAATAAATGTTTCTAGTTTATATTATTGTATATATATGTTTGGTCAGAATTACGTTTAAACATGACTTCCTTCTCACAAGACCTCCAATTTATTTATTCCAACCCAGACTCTACATGTTCACATTTTCAAATCTCCTGACATAAATGATAGGAGCTATAACCTTTAACCCTTCCCACAAATTTACTCTCGACTATGTGTCAAACACTGTC